TTACGACGGCGACAAAGTTGAGTGAGCGATCGGAAGAAACAGGTGCAGTAGGATAACAACGCCAAAAGACTGCCATAGTTCTCGGTCAGGGCAGAAGGCGTAAATTGAGGACTCTTTTCTTTACGGCATCGTAGCCTAGGTTTTTAGTTGCAGTAAAGCAAAGGAATATATTTTTGCTACACGTGTGTTATATAATGCCTTTGGTGACCCGGCTTTTAATTTAGAGATCTGCGGCATGTGTCATAGAAAGGTCGCAACCTACTGTCGCTGCCTTACAGCTAGACGCTGTACTGTTTACAAAAGTCGGCGACGTTAAGTTTGAAAAACTGAAGTTATTAGACATGATATTTCGTAACATGAAAATGTTCCATGAAGGGCTATAAGGTCAGCACTAAATAAATACTCTTCTTAGAGAATGTTGAAGCGGTAATGCCGAAGCGGCATCAAGGAGTAACTTAGAACTGGAAAATATGGCTTGAGGTTGACATTTAGGATTGATCGCCGGACGTTCGGTAACTTTATGGCCTTAGATGTGACAGCTGACAGCGGTTGTGATCTATCGATTTCGAGCATATTGAAAGCTTCATCTAATGAACGATGCTCCTTACAATATATCATTGCACTTTACGCTAAATGTTGTACCGCGGCACTGCAGACCCAAACTTAGACAATCCTTTTCCTTTTTATATAGTCATGTTTAATTTTCCCATAAATGATATACGTCGTTGCACATAACAAAAGAGGTTTTTCGTTTGTTACGTTGAGCCTCGAAAAATGTTACTTTCGCCCCTAAATGCTCCTTGAAAACGATCGATAAGTGTGTTGGTTTCGGCAAGTGCCTTTTATAATATGTTTTTCTGTACTGTTATATTATAGATGCAGTGAGTCTGTTACAAAAAGCTTCCAAAATTATCGTTTTCAGCTTACAAACAAACGTGTGTAGAATAATAGAAAAGTAGAAACTTTTTGCAGAACTGCGGTAGTCGTTTGCGAGCAGGAATCTTGTCATCGACAACGGAAAATGCCCATTGTGCTTTAGTAGAATTAATTCTAATACTTTTCTTTTAAAGCGTTTTGGACTAGTTGTAAACCTAATGAAGCCGATGCCAAGATAATAGATCGTTTATAATGTAAGTATCCATGGGATACACAATGACTATATTATAAATAATTGTCACCATTTCTAGGTAAAGGGGTGTTCGCCTAGGCCTTTATCGGACAGCGCTACTTCTAGAGCAAAAACACATCACATATATTTTAGCCTGAGCATGCAGGAGCGTGATTTGAATTGCAAAAATACCTGTTTACTGGCCGAATTCGTCTGTAGAAGTCAACTGTCATATTATAATCATTGACGCTTTGTCTGCCTGTATTATGCAACCCATATTATTATCAGCCGCATTGAAGGATCAAAACGTGTGCAAGCATCTTTCACCCAATATGTAACAGAAGTATCTTACCTCTTACACAGGACAGCTCATTAAGTTCAATCGGCAACTTTTATCGAACACAGCCCACATGCCCCGTGTATAGTACAGCCGATTGCTGTTTGCCCTTTAATCATCTCCAAACGCGTTTGCGCAACGAGCTAGACCGGGGCAGCGCTCGTTTGGCCATCCGACACCTTTTTGGTAGGTTGCCTGCCTCTACTTGAAGCAGTCCCTTTGCTTTCGTGAACACAACTCTATCGAGCCCTGACGCTAACACCGTTGTGTGTGAATAATAAAGGCAATGAATGCTGAGCGGTACAACTCAGCTGCGGGCTAGATCTGCGAGTACCGGGGACGCTCGTTTTCAGCGCCTTGGATGCTAATGGTACATACATATAGCGCCTGCAGTCGTAGTAAGATAACTAACCCAGAGGCAAACTGCCCGGGCTGAAGCCACCAGGACCTTCTCGTTCTGCCTGCCGTCGATGTTTGTCAATTATTCGCGTTGATACAACAGTGTCATAGTCCTCGCAGGCATTGCGGCCTTTGGCGGTGTTCGCCCGTTGCTTCCTTTTAGCGCTCTTACTTCTTCTGCAATGTACTCGTACTTAAGCGATGCAATTCGTTTCCTTCTTACGTTCCCGCCTATCCCACTAGCTTTCAGTAGCCTTTTCTTCTTAATACATTTTTTGTCTTGACCTGTCCTGGGTCTTATCGAACCTCTACCTTAAGGGCCTGTATTAGAGCTCGGGAACTTTTCGATGCTTGTCCTACTGCATACTGGAAAATGTAGCATGCATGATACTGCCACACAATATCTATAGAAGGTACTGAAAATGGTTTTCTATGTTCGCAAAAAATAATCATAAGAAGTACATATATGAATAAGGTGCAACTTTTGCAAATGTAAGTCGAAGTTCATAACTCATTCCACTGTAGCTAAGGCCATTTTATTATTCCGCCAACGAACATACAAGCTTTGTAAACTTCTCTAGAGATATGAAAAACGTTTGCCTTCATACTCACTATAATTTAATGATACATTTTTGATGGGAGAGAATGCTAGTGACGCATGAATAGATAAATGTTTGTTGTCCAAAAATGGTATTTGGGCATGGGCAATCTATAAAACAGGGATTAATATTATTTAGCTGTCACACAGTAAAACATTAACGTTCAATTTTACATGTATATATATACGAAGTACGATTAAGTGCAATTAGTGTATTCATTTCAAGAAGACTTCAACCGACTTCGCACATGATCTTTGAGTAAACGCTACATAATACAACAAATAAAGATTTTTTTTACAGTGGATACCTCCCATAAGTATTAAACCTCAGATTGAGATGCATTAGCCTGGTATGAACAGGACACTCAGCTACACAAAATCGAACTTTTGAAACGTTCTTTAGTATCCAATAGCAATATGATTTGCTGCATATCATACAATGAGAAAGTCTGTACTATTCAGATGATCTGCTTTGTACTTGTTAATTAATGTTTCTTCCGAGTAGTTGCTTTTAGTTATTCGTAGATGAGCATGAGAGGTCGGCCTAGCTAGAAATTCTAATAAAGTCTATCATGCAATATATAAGATCGTTCTTCTTGCTGCTTGCGATCGTAACAGCTCTTGAAAGCCTACACAGCTTTCCTGATACCAGTTCTATTCAATGGAGTCTCTATCAATCCCCGTTCGGGCTATTGGCCTTAACGATAAGGAGTTTGGCTTAGTAGTATTCCTACCTGACACTTACAGTAGAAAGGGCGCTAGAAGGGCTCACTCACCATGTTCAATGCCAACTACATTCGGCGTCTCTCGAACCCTACAACCCACAAGCCAATGATTATCTTGCCCAGGGGCCATATAACTATTTTTCTTACCGCAAGAAAGTTTTTGTTTAGAAACTAATCGAGCTACTTCACTACTACTGAATGGCGAAGGAGAAACGTCTGGTCGTAGCGGTCACACGTCGAAAGCGCGAGCGATCAAAGTAAACAGCAAACGCCTAAAAGATCTAGAAAATTTAATTTAAACACCGCCCTCGTTAACTCGTCACAGTTTCCTGCCACACCCATGAGCCCATCTCCTGCCATCAGGGATGATTGATTTCGAGTTAGCTTTAACACAGAGTCCCGCAAAATCAAACAAAGTACAACTAATATCGTGTGCAAACACTTCACGGGAGCGGAACGACAGCGATGTCGACGACAAGGCTAATGGCAACGCAGGAACCGGCCGTTTACCGCTTGGAAAAAGTGACACAGTTCAACAAATGAGCCGATCAGTATATTTGGTTTCCCAATATGGCTGAGTACGGTGAATAATACGTGTACAGGTGTACGCTCGTATAATAGCGCCATTCACTAACACCACTACCTAACCGATTGTTGCTTAGTTTTAATACATTTGTTATCGTTAGCTAGCCAATGTCCTGGAAGGCCACTATGGTTCAATGTTTAGTAATTCAGTAAATTTTTCAGAGTAAATCAACATAAGACGACGGCGTTTGTAGTGTTAATGCAGACGTACTACGCTTGCTTAAGACGCTAAATACTTCCGTATCATATAAATGATGCAAACTTACTTTGTACGCAGGCTATGGGAATTGTGTAGAATGTCATTTCGGACAACTTTCGTTGCCAAAACAACGCCGATATATAAGAATTTTTTTTTTCGGATCGACCAAAAGAGCCCGGCAGAAGCACCAGACACGTTATTTCTTTTAAGCAGATTTCAATAACTGATCTGGTGTTATTGTAAAGAACAGCAAAATTCTCTTTAATCTTTTACTTTACTCTTTAGTCTTTGAACTACTGGAATTAGTCGTACTTTAATTTCAATTCTACATCTTTCAACAGCTTTGGCTTAATCAAAGGAGAGATTAAAGCAATATGAAACTCAAAAGAAGGTTCTCATATTCCATGTGTTAATTTTCTGATAATTGCTTCGCTTATACAAATTAGCGTTTGGGTAAGTTCAACTTGATCCCCTACAAAATTGTATTGTACAAAAATGTCGAATGATGATTTACCGTTAACGTATATCGTTATACATGCAGTATTTTCATTCCTTAATATGCCGTACAATTAGAGAAACCTCCAGTTTTACTGCTACAAATATGTTTACCAATCATTTAAATTGATAAATTACTACTGGTTTGGCGGTGTGTGTTCTTTATTTATAGTACTCAAGAGGTTTTTAATGATATTCGTTTGTTTTCTCGAACGTTCGCAGAGATCATTTTCACCGGATCGACAATGGCGTAATTTTTCAAGATAGCTGCATGTGTGTGCTAGCATTGTTATAATTTTTTTGTCGTTTAGATGGATCTTTTAACAATTTATATCGACAAATATATTTCGTCTAATGCTATTACAAAAGGATGACGCAGAACTGTCATTAAAACACTGCTAGATAATAGTGGTTCGTTGTCATCGTCCTTCTAGTGTCTTTTCTTCAAGGAGGTTCCAACGCTTTGACGTCTACAAGGAAATGTAGGAAGCTTGAAAATGAATGTATGCTTGAAAGGAGGGGGGGGGGGGTAGTGGCTGTTCCGCTGTGTCCGGATGGAGACTGACAAGAGTTTAGCTGAATTCGTCAGTTTTCCAAAGATTTCATCGAACAGTTAGCTATGTCCGTTTTTTAGTCACTTCGGTGAGTTTCGTCGCCAGTGAGGATCTGCCGGCCAGTTCATATGCGCATGAGATGGCAACATCGACTTGCGGCGATGACAGCCTAAATAACAGAACGTGGCAGTTCAGGTCAGAATACTGAAAAGTGCTGAGCTAGGCCGGAACTGAGTGCCGCTTGCATAAATAGGATACGATGAGAAAATCAGACGACGATTGCTCGACGGCTAATTTAAACAGCATTGGGCTATACCCGGTCGAAGTCGAACGCAAGGCTCGGATCGGGTCAGAAGAAGCCAATCTAGGCCTGTACAGGCTAAGCGGAGGCGCTGAGGGGACCTAGACAAATGTAACAACAGACAAAAGCTTATGTTGGAACATCAGAGCAATTGACTACATATTTCCTCAGCTATATGGTTAAAGGCTAAATGCACGGGGAGATTATACTTCTATCATTAAAGTTACTTTCTTATTAGAAAAAAAGATCTTCATAGTATTATATATTGTGAAATAATATTGGATGCACCCTTATATATGAATATATATATG